ATGACGTCGTAATACCTTTATACCGTATAACACTTTTTAAATTCTAAGCTATCTGTAGTTTTTTTTAGTTACAAGATAAAAAGTATTAAAGATATACCGCTTTATGTATATGAACTATCTATTTATTTACAAGATTTCTCTGTTAAGAAGCAAAAAATCAAGTAATTGGCATAATAGTGAAATATCAGTCTTATAGAGGAATTGTTGTCAGATCGCTTAAAGACTAATGCCGCAGGTATGAAAAACATTGACTTTATTTATTTACTATATTAATAATAGATGCTGTCCTGTTAGATTAGAACTTTTCTATGGTTTTTGAGACACATGTGATCTATGTAATAATTTTTGTATATTGAAAACTTCCCTCAGAAAAATTAATGAGTCAAAATAGCAGGTTATTTAAATAAAATAACTATAAATAAAGTTTCGGTCAATATTTATTTTACGGCTTTTACTTAAAGAAAAAGTTTTTCCATAGAATTCAGGACATTAATGGATCACTATTACAAGATCCCTCTTTATATAATGAGATATTAGTTTTGTTATATTTTTAGATGAGCCCATTATTCCATATGCCCCTTTAGCTACACCCGTGACCTTATCAATAAATTTCGATAATTGTTGAAGAACCTGATGATACTCTATTAAATATTGTAGAGCCAAAATATGATATTATCTATTAAATAGATCGATTATTAATAGCAAATATTTAAAATGAAATAATTTTAAGATAATTTGAACAATATTTTTACTTGATTTCTTAAAAATGAACTTGTCTATAAATTATTTCTTCACAGTCAACAAAGAAGTTCATTCTTTTGAATCACTTTGTAAATGTTGAAATGTGAAAGAATTCTTATTTATTTTCTTATGCCAATATTTATCAATTCCTAATCAGCTAATAAATGCTAAGTAATCTATATTTTTCAGAATTCCCGTCAAGATATTAATAATTATCAATTGCAATTTATTCTGTAAAGCGAGCTTTGCTATTCATTTTTTTATAGTACTTTTATGTGAGGAAAATATCTTTGGGTAAATAAAATAAATACATAAAATTTTTACAGGTTATTTTTGTTACCTCAACAATCAAAAGAATTCTTTCCCTTTTTTCGGAATACAACAAAAAGTATATATGATTCATATATCAAATACATGAGGATTTCTTCATGAGTAAGTCAAAGTTATCAAAAATTGATACTATAGTAAAAAAAGTTCCCCCTTCAATGATAAAAAACATAGAGTCCAAAGTAGAAAACACAATAAATTCTATTAAGATGCACTGACAGCATGGAACGTATGAACTGCTATGACATCTTGATATCTTCATGTCGAGATAAAGACCAAGAGTGGAGCATATTTTCTTTGTTTCCTAAGATACTCATATGAGTCTTCTTGCTCTATTATACGCTACTCTCATTTCGTAGCATATGTCTGAGTTCTTAATAAAATTGTATACGGCTTCTTTTTTATTTTATTTTATTTTTTCAGTCATTTATATTATTTCATATATGTTACGAAGTTAAAAAAATTTACTTAAAATATCTTCATATATAGGGTGCATCCATGACCAAAACTAATAGTTAAAAACGAATTCGCTTTTATCAAAATGAAAATATTTCTCTTCTTATAATTGTAAAATTTTAATGGTAAAAAGTCAGTATTACAAAAAAAGACCCCGATGCAGCCAACCGCAGTAAAAGTGCATCAAGAAGCAGTTGCATCTTAACCTTCATTATTAAACTATATGAAGCACGAAGCTGTCAGGTGACTGCCGGATCTTAGCTGCCTTTAGGAAAAGCGGGAAAAGGCGCGCTCATTACTTTTCTAGGTAGGTTGTTTTATTTTGTTCTTCGCTTGAAAGGACACGTGCCCTTATCGAACTCAGCGTTGATGGATCTGCTATTAAAAAATAGAACAATATTATTCTTTTATAACGTGATGAACACAGATGACATTTAATTTCTTTTGTTATATAGTCTTACTTTAAACTTATGTTACACCTTCATACACTCGCCAGTGGCGGTTTAAATAACTTCAAAAAAAAATTTGATTTAATTTTTATATTCTTTATATTGTTATTAAGATTATAAAGAAGTTTATTTGTAATATAGTATGATAGATCATAAAGTACAATGAGCCTTCTATTTCATTTTCTCTTCTTCTTTGCTTGATCAAACGCGAGTTAGTGTCTAAAGCAGTTTTACTCAATAGAGTCTGTGACTATTTAGATGATCCACTTTGATAAGAGCTTCGTTGAATTCTGATAATAAGTTATGCAGATGATTTTATAGAAGTATGCTTCAAAGCCCAGCATATCTTTCTGCTATTAATATAATAATAAATATATTATTTCTAATTATCTTAAATGTATAATCATGTATATATTATATAAACATATAATCTTAAATAAAAAATTAGCTATTTAATTTATTTAATTGATACGTTATAAATTGTTATTTATTGTATATACGAGTACATTATTTTTTTCTTCTTTTATCAGTTTTTAGTTAATTCAGTTTAGTTTTTTAAAAATAAAAACTATTAAAATAAATCACGTGATCTTAATCAAATCAAATCAAATAAAGTCTTAAACTTAGTTAAACTCAATGCCATCTTAACGATCATTTGCTATATATTTACTGGCACATTATTTATCAAACAAACTCCGCCAAAACACCTATAACATTCAGTATACGTGCTCAGAAATACTATGGACTGAAAAACTCTTCACAAGGAATATGTTAGAAATATTCAATACAGTGCTTCGACTTATAACTAAATAAAGAAGTGATATAGAGCATAAGAGAAAAGCTTAATAATATAACAGAAAAGACATTTACCAATTTAGCCTTATTTAATAATCGTCTGCAGTACTTTTTGGCTATATCTACAGCTGATATCTGCTATGTTAAATATAATTTCAGTATTTACTTTTAAAATTATTCTTAATGAAATATTCTATTGTTAGACCTTTTAAAATACTTAAAGTGATAATATATTTGCTATATTTCACATTCGATAAAATTAAAATATATCTATACTTCTTGGTTTATTAAAAATTTCCAGATCACATAAAACTACTTAATCGCTTATCTTACAGACTGATTTCTCTTCAAAATAAATATTAGCAGTTCTATAAATTTCATAACTAAATAGGTTTAATTAAAATTTTTTATTAAGCTATTTATTCAATATTTTGCAAATTCACAAATAATAATATATCGTCAAAAATATATATATATAAAATATGTTTTAATAAAATATTTTCGAATGGATTGCTTTGCGAGATATAAGGCTTCAAAATGTTCGAGAATAACTTTATAATAAATATTAATAAATTTTTTATAAAACTTGATGAATATCTGTACACAATGTAAAGATATAATACAAAAATATAGTTATTTTATTTGAATATGATATAAGAAATTTGTTAATTAATAGATTTGTCTCTAGCAGAACTAATAATAATATATTATAATCAGATTTTGTTAAAATTATATATGCCCTATAAAGATCAAAAAATTAGTGACTGCTAAATATGAAGAATCAGAACTATGTATATACTATGATATTTTTCCAACACAAGTAAATTTTTAACCTTTTCACACTTCCCAACAGGTCAGCTAAATTTCAATAAATTAAATTAATTTTTGTCCTTGTCTTTTCCTTGCTATTCGAATCCATCTAACTTTTAAATAATATTTTACTTTTTCGCCATTCAGCATTCTAAAACACTGGAATTACTATATATACGTATATTGTTAATAATTTTAACTCCAAAAAATGTGAGAAACCCGCCACTGTGTGTTAAGGAAGTTTACTATAAACTTCTTTTGACATATGAAGTTGTGTGCAATTAACTCGTGTTAGATTTTTGACGAATAAAAACTGGCATACTTAGCATACTAATGCAGGTACATCGGGGTAGATTCGGTAACCTAATTCCTTACGAAATGCTTGAGTGAATCATTTGATTTCATCAATGCAACCACGTTCGTCTTGACACATGCGACAGTTTTGACACATATGGTTTGAATATCTAAAATTTTGGAGGGAAAATTACTCATTTTTGTTAAGATAAATAGATAATCAAATTTTAGTATTTATTATTAAATTATGTTCTTTTATTCTAAATAATAATTTGTATTGTACTAATGGAGAGAGACACACTCTATTAGAAGCAAATAGGTATGTCATCAAAAATTTGGCTTAGGAACTAGTAGGTGGTCAAAAAGTAAGTGTCTTAATAATAATACATATGTATTAAGATAATGAATGTTTAGATGTAATGTAAGTATTTAATTATTTATTGTCAACATAGTTCAATGTTTGGAGCATTGTTTGGCTATGTTTTTGTAATAAAAAAATATGAAAAAAAAGCTTTCTATCCGTGGGTATAATTTTTCCTACTGAAGGTCTTAACATGTCGCATATGTGCTACATTTTCGTCTCTGGGCGCATATGCTTATCGCAATTTTTAACGTATTTTTTCCTTAATCGGTAATAAACCCAGAAACTTGTTAAGCTTCGTTGAGCATTTATAGTGTTCATTTATGAGACTGGGAAAAATTAGAAGAACTCATAAAGTTCATATCAGCCACAACAAATTATTTGCATAGAAATAGAAAATAAAGAAAATTTGAAAAAAGCTTGGGAAAACTCTATTAATTACATGCGGGTGATAAAAAGTCCTGATTCTACGATAAACTAAATGACAAATTATTTAGCAATAAAATTAATTTTAAACGAACGTGTGAAAAAACTAAAGAGAAGTTAGTGGAAGTTCTGAAACTAAACACAATTTTTTAAAAATAATTTCTTATAAATTATCTCTATAACTCTTTATAATGGTAGAATCTAAGACTGAACTTTTGAAAAATTAAACAAAACCATAAACATATATCAAAAGCATTTAATAAATAAATGAAGTAAATTAACTTAAGACAAACAAATAAATTAAATAAATAAACAAAAAAATTCTAATTTTTTTAAATTAATTATGATCCTACACGTAGATTGACACGTTTCCGTTTGCCATATTTGCCGCTCTGGTGTACTGTGCCAGCATCACGCCCAAATATATTCCAGAATGGACGCGGTGTTGTGCTTGGTGGTGTCTTATTAATGATAATGCAGTTTACGTCATTGTCATTGGAACCACCAGTTTGAGTTGTGGTAAATGTTTTAGTAAAAGTATTAGTTCCCTTATCGATGTTTTCTAAATTGTTGTTCTTTCTGCGGTTAATATCCCTGTTGGAGAGATTTGCATTGTAACGGTGATTGAAGTTAGATTGGAAACGGTCTTTTTTCCTGTTATCATAATTTGGTCGTCTTGTTGGACGGCGTTTTCTATACACTTGAGGACGTCTCTTATTTTGATTCTGTATGCGTTTCCTATTGTTTGTCACCTTCTTGATTGGTTTATTTTGTTCAATTGGTTTACTTGGTCTGCTTGGACGACGTTTATTCACAATAGTTTGTGGTCGCCTTGTTGGCTTTGTTTTCTTATTCGTTACTTTTTTCTTTCCACCCGTTTTAGTTGGTCTCTTCTTATTTTTCTTACTTTTCTTTCCTTTTTTACTTTTCTTGCTTTTTTTACCTTTCTTGCTTTTCTTTTTCTTACCTTTTATTGGTCTCTTATTTGCATCAGCATTGTTATCATCAACACCAGTTGACCAAATGGCCGTTGTGCTTATTGGACTAAGCTCTTCTTCATAATTTAATGCATGATCATCACCATCATCATAATCGTCGTATTCATATTTTTCAACATCACCTTCATTTGGTGGCACATATTCGAAAACAGCATGTGTTTCTGGATTAACTTTAGGAGGTTTATTGGAATGTACGATCACAATACCATTTGTACTACTCATTGAAGGTCCTGCATTTACTGCGTTTACTGCACTTACTGCATTTACAGCGCTTACCGCATTCGCATCTTCTGTTCCTACAATAATGCCACCATTTTGTTGCAAAATTAAAGGTAAGTGTACGTCTTCTTCCTCATCATCATCTTCTTCATTATCATTGTTTTCATCAGATTCAGAAGCTTGTTGTAAAATTGCAATATGTGCAATTTCATCATCACCATTTTCCATATCATCCTCGTTATCATCTTCATCTTCAGCATCTACCGCTGTATCAGTATTAACAGCGGTTGCTGGTGTTACCAACGCCCATGTATCTGACAATCCCTTCTTGAGTGTATGGATTTGATTCTCATTGACTGATTCGTCTGAAGCTGGTTCTGAAGCAGGAGCAGAATTTCTCTTACGTCTAGTAACCACACATTGTCTTCGGCCGCTATTCACTTGACGACCTTCAATGTTAAATCTCTTTACTTCATATTCATCACCATTCTCATCGACTTCAATTGAAGTTTCAGCTGAAGGAAATAAAAATGAAAAGAATTTTATTAAATATAATTGAGAAAAATTGGCATAAGGTTTATATACGTATTATGTATTTATCTATTATGCTATATATGGGTGCTATAAATACTAAAGTTGAATAAGTTATGATGTTTACTATTACTGATTCCAATTAAGATATTTCTCTACAAATTTTATATTATATAAATGTCTAATAAAAAGTTACGAAGCAGTACACATATAGTAGCAATGAATCATATACGAGTACATATACAAGTATCCAATATGACATTGAAGGCACATAGTCCAAATACACAATATTCCAAATTTTTAACGTAGCTATCATATACTTAGTGGTTGTTACGTAGTTAACAATAAATCTTATATCTCTCTAGTTCCCACCCTGAGAGACTAAAAGTATATTGCTTATCGATTTCGAATTTGAATTAGATAACGCTAGTTTAGGTAATTCAACAGATAATTTTTTTTTTAAATCTACATAAGAGCATTTGAGTCGGGAAAATTAAATGTACTCCGGGTTTGTGACTTAAACCACGGATCTACGATTCTAATTTGACTGGGTTCAATTCCTAACAAATTCTGCCAAGGACCAGTATTGAGAGGTATTTGGCGATATCCGAAACAGTTGTATTGGGAGTACAAATTTTACTTGATATGAACAGTATTTTCGAATCATCCTTTTCTAAGCGAAATGAATTTCTTGTCATATAATATAAAATTTTAAATTAAGTTTATTAAGCTATTGTATTATAGCATCCGTAGATTAAGTTGCGGATATTATTAACTGCAAAAATTATTAAATCATTAGAAGCGGATATACTTCATTGGCAATAAAATGTGGATCTTATTAATAAATATATCTATAGTATCCATTGCACAACTATATAAAACTGAGTAGAAAAAAATTAATGAAACTAACGAAATTTAATAAAATAAATGATATCCTATGTAGTACACAAATAATAATTTTAGACCATTATATATACATAAAACAATATGATAGGATATGCTTCTTTCTTCATTTGTTAGAAATATTGAGACAGATTTGTAATATAATAATAAAAATTATTATATGTGATTTCCATATCTTCAACTGTTCTGGCAATTCAAGTGATTAGATTAAATCAATAAAATATCCCTACTAATGGAACTATTATCTTATGTGCAGACGTATCAATGGGTTATGAACGGCTACTGTATTACCAGAAGATCAGAGGCAAAAAGAGAATTTCAACTTTCACTGGTTTGCTTTTTCGCTGCTTAACACTCGCTAGAAGGCGTTTCTTCACTCTAAAGTCTTCAGTTTCTCTCTGATATCACTTGGATAAGCATTTCAGACTTTATCGTCTTTATTGAGATAACGAAATGTCTTCTTAGTTCGTAAAGGAATATTTTTATTTCACCTGGTTATAATTAATAGCCCGAAATAACAAACTGTGGTATCACAATAATCCCACTTAAAGCCTGAGGATGAGCGCAACTCTTTCCAAAAGGATTGTCTCTAACATTTAACATCTACGGATCTACTTTAGTTATACTATAATTTGAAAATATATACTTTTAGCTTAGGTATAATAAAATTACCGAATTATTTTTCATAATTATTAACCAAAAAATTATCTTTGGTTTATATTATCCCAATCTTTTTCTTATTGGGATTTCTATTCTTATGTGAACAATATTTCTAAAATATGACATGGATAGAGCCAATTTCATATCTCTTTATGAAGCTTGAAATTTGGAACTCTATATTGATAATTCTATATTACTGAAATGTTATGTATTATGTGTCTTAGTCACATGGGAAATATATTTTAGAATAGTAATAAATAATTGAAGTTTATTTTCCAACGAAAGTCTTGACTGGACTTAAGTGATTGCATTCTAGCGAATAAAAAAGTTATGTGTTGATAATCCTACGAAGGTCTTAACTAAACTTAACTGGTTCCACTCTATAGAGCAAAAAACTTATGTGTTGTTCATTTTTAGTTCATAGTCACTTATGTTTTCAAGGTTCGAGCATATAGATGATATGAGACATGTTTGAGAGGGTTTTATTTCTTGATGGATGTCAAACTAAAATGTTACAGCTTGAGTTTTATCTGGACTTTCTAAGCCAGGATCAAGTAGCACTCACTAACTCTATTTTAAAAATACTCTTATACCTCCTCATCAAAGGAGATTGGAAATTTTAGTAACTAATAGCTAATTATCAAATTTGATCTGGCTTTCTTTTATAATAATTTTGTAATATTAAAAGCATTTATAGTGACATGCTGTAAAATATAATTTATTGTATTCGATTAATTAATGTTTCGTGTCGAATCAAGTTTTATACATACTCATGTATAGTATATTTTCACGATTAATATATTTTTATTTTTTATTAAGGATTAAGTATTAAGTGATCATTTATCATATATCATTTATTATAAATTAAACTGCAATACACAAATGTATTTATTCCAATCAAGAACTTTTCATTGTATATATATGTATTGTAGATATTTTTAAGCGTCAACGATTTAACATCTTTTATAACAACTTTATTCAAATAAATATTTTATATAATAAATGTGAAATATATATTTAACAGAATCTCACTAAGTCCTTTTATTTGATTTTATAAAATTTGAAAGGACTTTCGCTTTTTATTGCAATTTCATCATAATTACATGAAATTTTTTATAATGATTCAAATATATTTTTAACAAAACTTCACTTAGTCCTCTACTTCAATTTTATAAAATTTGGAAGGACTTTCGATTTTATTATTTATTAACTTATCCTTTTTATTACATTTGACTAAAACCACGATGAAGCACAAAAGAAATAGAAAGCACAGTTTTTGCCTCATCTTTCGAACTCTTACAGAGACAAAATATAATTAGAAACTAAAGCCAACGAAATCTGTGACTTACTTTTATAAGTTCGCCACTGCGAAGATGTTTTTTTTTTAATCGCTAACTAACTAATCAAAAAAAAAAATTTATTAAAAAATTGATACATCCAAAAGCGAACTGTATTTGTTGCCAAACAAAAGAACATCATTAATTATTCATAATCACGCATGATTTCACTAATAGACAAAAGATTTGCATATTCGTATCAGAAGAAGAAATGAAGAAGACACACACAAGATACTTAGTACGAATCTTCTATCGAAGAAGCGAATTCTTCTTCTCGCAATAATCAAAGATAACTGGTTTGTCCAAATTTGCGTAATTGGGTTAATGGCATGAGTCCGTATTTTAATATTAAGTTCATTCCCATTTCACTATCGCCCATGCGTCGTCGCTTTTCGATGAAACGAAATTGAATTGCTCTCGGTCATATGTGAGTAATCTGATTGACCTGGCTGAGTTGGCTGAGTTGGCTGAGTTAGCAAAGGTGGCTAAGTTGTCTAAGTTAGCTGTGTTGGCTGTGCTAAGCGAACCACAAGAACTCTTCGTGGAATTTAGGTTTTCGATTAATTATTCGCAATTTGTATGTAAATTTTATAGAAGAAAGTTAAAATATGATTTTAAATATAATTTTAGGAAAAAGTCATTTGAATCTCAAAAAAAATAATTCTTTTATGGTATATTTAAAATATTTTCTATTTTTTTGTTGATGTGATTCAAGTATTTCTTATTTCCCATATTCGCTTTTCGACACAATTTAGACACTTTCCGAGATGTTGTCTAACTTCGGGAAGGTCAAAGTTTTTTACTATTCCATTTCAAATATTTACTTCTAAATATTTTGCAAAATTTAGTAATTATTTTATATTGTGCTATATTATATTATATTTATTTGTTTTTCTTTTTTTTTTTTTGAGATTATTTATGATTTTTTATCATATATATTACAATGTTATTATATTACTTTACTTTTATAATTCAGTAATTTCAAATTTATTTTTATTTTTTAATTTAATTTTATTTTGTTTAATTGTATATTGCTATATTTGTTTTTAATCATTTTTACTGTTTTTTAATTATAAAAGAATTATTAAATTTTTTAATTTGTTGATATTAATATTGCAATTTTTGAAATTATAAGAATGTTAACAATTATTATTTATTTTATTAGAAAAAAAATAATACATTCATATTTTTATAGTATAGTTTAATTTTTTATTAACTATATTATTATTTATATGATTTTTATATATTATACTTTTTTTTTATTTTTATTTTATGTAATTTTGTATTATTTTAATTATATGTTTTTATTTGTAATTTACATTACTTTTTGATTTCAATACGTATATTATTTTATTTTATAAAATAATATGAAATAATATTATTTTATATTAAAATAATATATATAAAAATATACGTATATTTTATTTTCATTTTAATAGATATATTTTCTTTACTGGTTTTTATAAATATTAAATTTCATATTTCAGTCTTTTTTAATTTGTTTTTTTTTTTTCAACACATTATTTATTCATTATTATTTAGTTTTGTTTTTAAAATTTTCTAGTTTTTATTTAAATTAATCAAATTTTAAATAAATTAATTTAATTTAACTTTATTATTGTTGATTTTATTTCATTTGTTTCTTTTTATTGGATTTCAATTTTTTTTTATAGTTTTGTTATATATTGACTCTTCCTTTATTTATTATTTATTATCATTTTATTTATTGCAAAGTTCTTATTATTTGATTTATTTAGTTCATTGTTTATAATATTATTTTATTTAGTTTTAATTTTTATTAGTAAATATATATCATTATATTTTTTTTGTTTTGAATTATTTTATTTTATTTTAATGAATTTATTTTTTTCACTTCTCATATTATACTTCATTATGCCTCAAGACTTTGTAGGCATCGCCAGGAATCGGGGCAGTGCGATGAGGGGATTATGAACAACCCATTTTTCTTTTAAAAACTACCGATTAAAAAAGATTATTCGAATGCTTAATAATTCTACATCACAAAAACACCATTGCATTTAAATCGGAACTCTGGTTTCAATTGCTACACCCGACTTTGTGCACATGTACCTTCCTACAGATCAGGACCAGGCATACTGATCGGTATTGATCTAATATATTTATGTAGAATCTTAACAAATGAGCTTTTTTGTATTATAAAATATTACATCTAGTAAACATTTAATGAAAGATAAGAAGCCCTCGTACCTTCCTACAGATCAGGACCAGACATACTGATCGGTATTGATCTAATATAATTATGTAGAATATTAACATACATATGAGCTTTTTTGTATTATAAAATATTACATCTAGTATACATTTAATGAAAGATAAGAAGCCCTCGTTTCATATTTCTACTTTGACTAAATCCATCCTATTTTTTATTTTATATTATGTTATTAGATTTACTCGTTTTTGTTTTTTTTTGTAGTATTTTACTATATGTTCTCTATTCATGAAAGTTCAAATTTAAAATTTAAGACCTAAAAAAGATTCCGTTTAAATTCTGTTGGACTATTTTTTTTTGGGTTTGTAAAACTAAACGTTAGAAAGGGTATTTAAGAAACCACACTATAAGTTTATCGTGAATTCAGGCGCCATTAGATGTAGTGATATTAGATGCCATTAGCTTGGTACTTATCTGAAAAGATATAAATTTTTATTGAAGTTACAACTCCTAGTTCTCAGATCTAGGCAACCGAACAAGCATCAAAACAAATATAAATAAATTCAGATTTTATTGGCTTTGATCTGTTAGGAATTTAAAGACTCCTAAATTTATTAAGATTAACTTTTTAACCTATTGTAAAGTTCGTGTAGGTAGTCAGTAATATATGTAATGACAAGAGTGTGATTTAAACTGAATTCTGGATAATATTAGTTAAAAGTCTGAGAGTTCAACATTTGGTAGTCCTCTTTTAGTTATCACTTATTAGTTAGATAACTTAAACATCAAATAAATCATTTGAGTTAAGCACCGTCTTTTATTGAAGGTTTGTGTGTTATTATAAACAAGTATAGAGATTTTTAATTAAAACTTTAAACAGTTTTTAAGCCAATGTAAGTTAAGATATAAAATCTTTCTTCATATGGATTTCTTGTTTTGCATACTAAAATCCGAGAATCTTAGAAATATAATTTTTATCGCATGCCTTTATGTTATTACATAGCTAATTTTATGTATGAAAATTTATGTACTTAGAGACCATACAAGAAAGTATCTATTAAGTGAAGTGCCCCACGATCTTAAAAGCAAACCTTTTACGCACGAACTCAGCGATACTGCACTGAGGCAGTGCCATCCATTGCATTCTAATGAAGAGCAATAAATTTCCCAGAAGTCATGCATCCGTCCAGGCGACGAAACCTTTTCAATAATGATCACAAGAAAGAAGAGAGAATGAGAAGAGAGAGACACATGAAAGACATGAAAAATGTTTAAGAAAGAATTATCAAAGATCGATTGGCATTTACTGCAGACCAAGGAGAAATGCTGCTGTTGCTGTTGAATAATAATTTTAGATATTCGCATAAAAACCAATAAAATTAAATAAATGGAAGCGTTTATCTGTGCAGAGTAGAGTAGAGGCAAAGGCTTTTCACCATCCATGATGAACGAAGTACATATAAAATAATTTTATTATGAAGAAGGTGTCGTAAAGCTAACAAATCAACAATTTAAGAAAATTTAAAATATTTTTATATTTTAAATGAAATATTTATGTAATTGGTTTATTCACCAAAGACCTAAAAAATGTAGAATTAATATAATAAAACTTTTATAATAAAAGGTTTTTCTTATTAAAATAAGAAGTAAATAAATCTATTTAAAGTTCTTTTCCCCATTAATCTTTCCATTCTTATTTTGTATTGTTCAAAAAATAATATATTCTTGATGAAAATGAAAGATAGTTTTTTATCGTATATAATTATTTATGTTATATATCTTTCATTTTGGTCCAACAACTTTTGCCAACTTTCTGGGAGTAGCTTAATTTCGCACTCATAAACCTTTTGATCTTTGTTTACAAAAATCTGATCAAAGCAAAACCTTTGTGCCTTAGAATTTAAAAAAAAAGATCAAAAGATACTACTTCTGGAGAAAATCGTAGGGGTGCTAATATATTTTATTCAAAATTTTTGGTGAGTTACCAAGCAATAATAAGTTTTATCATCATCCGTGACTATACAGTCTATGTAGGACCTAAGCCTGTTTAATAACAGTCTTTCATTCTTCTCTGTTTTTTGCTTTTCTTTTCCAATTTCTTATATTCATCTCTTCTAAGTCCTGCCTCACACTGTGTTTCCATCGTTTTCTTGGTCGCCCTCTTCTTCTGCTGGTTGCTACTTCGTTTTCATAAATATTAAGCGATACTCTCATATCCGGCATTATAATTATTTTTATAATAATAATAATTTAACAATGTAATGTAATATAATATTTAATATAATAAAATTTAATATAATATAATAATTTAATTATACATCTAAACCTTAAGATATTAGTGTTCTGAAGATTATACTAACTTTTATACTAGTTTGGTAACTCTTCAAAAATTTGGGATAAAAGTTATAAGCACACCCACCCAATCAAACCTTAACCAACTGATGATAATAGAATTCAGAATTGATTATAATATTATTTGGTAAAAACTAAAATAAAACTTCAAGGTGAACCTCCAACAAATAGGTAATATAACGTTTTTTAATAAATATCGGCTTTAAGTCGATTCATCTTTTTATTACGTGATCTATTCTGCTCAACATTATTATACTCAGTGATGATTTGGACGAAAAATAGATAATTTTTTGACGTTTAAGAAAGAAAGTGTTAGAAAGTGTAAGAACATGTGAAATCCATATATCTACTTTTCAAATTTAATCAAGAATTTTCATGTGCTCATGAATGTTCGACTTCGGTAAATTCAAACACTCAGCTTTCTCATGAAAGTTTTTGTCAAACAATATCTTTATTTTAGACTTTTTAGTTCTAACTGGTCTTTCGAAATGTAGGATAAGTCATTAAAGTAAATGGCACGATACTGTTTGGTATTGATCCGTACGGATCGGCACAATTTTCAACCTAGTTTGGAATTATTAGTATTTTTTCAATATATTTTTTAAATACAATAAGTTAAATACTTCTTGATATATACAACTAGTTTAGATAAGTTCAATGTTGTGATTTTAGAGACCTACTAAGACTTTTTGATCTATTGCGTTGCTGTATATACCTCGAAGGATTTAAATTTTAATTTCAAAGTTTAATAACGACAAAAATGCTCTTCTAGAAAAACGATGGCAACTAGCTTCTAAAATAAGACTCCAAAACTCATTCTAGATGGCAAGACTTTAGTTTGTTTCGCTACAATCCTCTTGGACCTAAGACTTTATCATATTTAATACACATTGCGGATATGGTGAACAATCACAAAGCAAATATCAAGTACTATTCTATCCTTTTCATAGGTCCAACAAAAGTTATTAGAGACTATGTGAAATCTACTAGCATGGTGTCCGACTTGTTAGCCATGAGCAAATCTTTCATAAGACAGATATCTTTGCAGAGCATCTTAATTGGTAAATATTACTGATGTCAAAGCAGATGTAAAACACTCTCTTTCATGCACCTGTGGCAAGAATTACTGAATGGAATGAATCAATCCACTAGTATGGTTTTCGAACCGCAGATTGATATAGTAAATATCATTATAAAAGAACAATGACGTGTATACAAAACTTTAAAGTTTTTTAGTATGTAATTTATTAAAGATCAGCGGCCTTTCTTGATAATATCTTTCCGTGTCAATTCAATGAGATCACTATATTTCTTCCTTTTTAATAGGGTCCAACGGGAGTACTGATATTTGGATATCATAGATGTTTATTATCTTGCTTTTAGCTATACTATACATATATTTAACTTATTAATCTATGTATTCTCTATCCGTCACTATGACATTTGGATATCACCTTCAATACCTTTCGTTTGTTATTAAGTCGACAACTCTTATACCAGTCACACTGTCGCTTAAGGATATATAAAAAATCAACAAACAAATGTAATAAATTCAAATAAAATAACAAAAACCATTGTTGGCCATTTACGTCTGCAGTTCAAAAGAATGCAAATAAAGAAATCATTTGACTCCGTTCGTTTCAAATGCATCTTACAACTCCCTGAGTTTTTATTTCTTTTGCGATTCACATGCAATTTTTAGTACGATGGCTTCAAATATCACGACTTTACGAGTAGTTTTAATCAAATTAGGGTATGGAATGCTACATGATTCTTCTTACATGGCTCTCTGGTTGGCCTCTTGGCTGGCTTTCTCCTACTGAACTGACCGTTGATTCTTGCGCGTTCATCATTGTTCGTCTCTTGCATACTTAATGTCATGTCTTGTTTTCTTGGACTCAAGCAGAGCTAATGGAGAGGCTTCATATACTGGTGCAGTCGGTAGTGAGGCTATGCAGCATTTGTCTCTATGCATGTAATATATGTAAAGTGCGTGTCTATTGATTTCCCTAAATGCAAATTAATCGTTTACAGTGCTTTCTTTAATGTAAAAAAATTAAGTTTACTTTATTTTTTGTAATATTATTCTTCATTTACAAAAAAAAAAAAAACTGTAAATACTTGTATGTTAATAAATTTGCTGATATTTAATAAAAATATTTTCTCATTATTTTACGTTATCTTTTGAATTTTAATTTTATATATTTTAGTTAAACACTTTAATGACGATCATAATTCGCAATTAATGTCAAAACTTATTGGTCGTGTAGATTTTTTTGAGTATAAAACGAATTGTTAAAACTGTCATAAATAATGTTAATAAGGTTAATTTTATTTAACTATTTTATTTTATTTTCTTGTAAATAATTTTATTTCTTCTAAATAATTTTATTTCATTTCTTAAATCAAGACAACCAAATCCTAATCAAAATATTTCAGTTAGAATTTTTTTTGAAATTTAATTCTAAGATTGAACTTGAAAACAGGGTTGTTATTTCTTTTACTTACAGCCTAGTACTAACATCCAGGGTTAAGTTAGGCTAGGTTGGAGTGGCGGTCTTTTCTTGTACCACAGTAATAGCGTTGGTTTATGAAAAATTATGTTAGTATTGCTGGCCCTATGGAGTGAGAGAATTTTCTCTGCGGAGGTTAGCTCCGAAGGTAGGTTCAACTGAAGTTGAATCTTTGGTACTTCCAGTTTAAAAAAAAAATTATTTACTAACAATTAAATACAAGAAATATTTTCAAAAGACCACGGTCTTTTTTTAATTATTGAATTAATTAATAAATAATAAAATTTTATTGTTGTGATTTACTACTGTTAAAACTACCTCTCTATAAAAATAAAAACTTAACCTAACTTAACCTACAATACTCAATAAGAATGTGAAGAGGAAACAGCGCTTCATCTCATGTGTCAGTGTCCATCCCTTGCAAGGAGTAGATGTAAAATGTTAGGGATTTCTTTTCTTATCAACCTGACCAAAGTGTTATCTTGCAAAACTAGTGACTTAGCCAAGTTGATAGAACTATCAGGTGGGTTCAACTTTACCAAATGGTAAAGGTATATATGAGTTTTTACCTTTTCAGCGTTGTTTGTACGCTGACCTCTAATCTATGTATGAACGAAAGCGAATCTCCTGGTACTACATAAGCATTATCCATAGGTACACAGTCCATGTAGGACCTAAGTTTATTTTACGACATTCCTTCATTCTTCTTTAATTTTGGCTTTTATCCTTCAGTTGTTGACATTCATATCTTTCAGATTTTGTCGAAAATTGTCAATGCATCTCTTCTTGGTCTTCCTTTACTTCTCGTTGTTCTAAGTTCACTCTTGAAGATTCTGTCTGCTGCTCTTTCTTCTGGAGTCCGCACAATGTATCCTACCCACTTCAAGCGTTGCTTGTTTATTTGCTTGATTATTGTAGCACCTTCCATCAATTGATCGAGTTCATCATTATATCTAACGCACGTGCTACTACAATGGGCTATTTTTTGAACACAAGTGGGCTTTGGGTTCAAGGCCGCCACTCCAATCTAACCTAACCTATTGGGACTTCGTAACAGTCAAATCTAATTATTTTCTCTTTTTTATGAACATAATATTACACTTACGTATAATTTTGGTTTCGGTGCTAAAATTTCCAACTGGGTCACTTTTTTTAGTGACTGCGTTGTGTCTTAACTGACGTGAGGAAAACAAGTTTTTCTTTAAATCTTTGGATTGCAGTTTAGCTCTAATATTTCCATGCCTTATTGACGAGCATAAATCAGTGTAGAAAAACAACAACAAAGGTTGAGGTGTTGCATGTGTTGTTGTTGCTGTGGTTTGATTGGTGCATCTCAAATAAAATGCATTTCAAAAAATGGTTGTTTGTTATTATTAAATTGAATAAGAGTCAATAAATTCTAATAATATTAAAACAAATGATATAAAATAAAATAAAAAACAATAACAAATAGAATCATATAAATAAATATTAATTTTTAATAAAATTAAACTAAAAATTAACTTCACAATATTGAATAAACAAAAAGTTGCAGTTAAATGGAAAAAAATAAAATAAAATTAATAAAATATATAAAATTAATTATTTACCATCAACATCACCGTCCACTGTCGATTTTGACCCAAAAAATGCTGTCATCAAGGTAAAGAAACGGCTTCAAACTGATGCCCGTGATGATGGCTGTTAAAAAAAAATATTACCTCTGCGCATGCTCAATGAAATCCACGCGTTTTGCATAAAAAACATTTCAGATGCGTAACACGTAACGCCACAGAAATTGTTTCATCAAAACAAAGGCCCAAAGCACTGCGAAAGATTGGCTTTACCGCTAAAGTTGCTCTGTAAAATAAATGCTTTTAATTGAATATTCAGATAATTTGCAGTTTATTCAATAAATAAATGCAATTTTATGGAAAAAAAAAATTTAATTATAATCTGAAAATACGAGGTTAAAAAGGGATTCTCAAAACTATACATATCTTAGGAATAAAATTTTTATAACATTAATTAAGTGTTAATATCATATATTATAAATATATATTATTTTAATAATATAATACTAAAATAATAGATGAATTAAATGCCTTTAAAAAGTTTGAAAGAATTCCAAGGGGTTTACTTCTGAGATTTGACACCAACCATTTTTTGAAATGCATTTTATATGAGATGCACCAATCAAACCACAGCAACAACCTTGACCTCAGGGATTTACTTTTGGGATTGTGTATCAATTCCGCAACCTTCCTTAAGGTGAATTGGGTTATAATGAAGATAAATTATTGTTAAGTACCATATACACAGAAGCTTTTGCTCTCTTGTGCTTTGATATAAATTGTAACTTAGTGTTAAGAATTTGAATGTGAATAAAGTTAGTCTTTAAATACAATGACTCAATACACAACATAATTGGCGACGAGGATGGGATCCGAACCCACGCGTGCAAAGCTCATTGGATTCTAGAAGGTCGTATAACGGTGTCACATATACACTCTTATATCTTATATAACCGTAGTTCTGAAAATCACTTAGAGGTAGATCCGTAACGAAAAATTTTAGTTCACTTGCAGAAAACTTTCCATACATTTCAGTACTTTAAAACAAATCTTTATGTTATTAAAAAGTCACAATATATTAATAATAAATGTGTATATTTATAAATATACATACATCAGATTTGATAATACACGAGTTCAACCCTTGGTATTGCAGTCTCAAGAAATTATTTTCCAATAATTAATTATAAGAAATAAATCTAAGACAAGTGATGATGGGTCTTTTGGCCAATTTTGATGGCCAAAAATTCAATTAATTAATAATATAATAAATTCTTTTGTTCGAAATACCTCACTATTGAAAATAATATTTTATATTAAAAATTTAGTTTCTTTAGTCAAAACGGACGTTGAAATTCAATTATATATACTTAGATATAACTGTAGTTCTTGATTTTACTAAAAGGGTTAAAACCTCCTTCTCTTCGGTAAGTGTCTGGTATATGGAAAGAAATCTAATAACAAGAGTTCTGGGGAAATGCAACGATATTTACAAAATTGATCACACTTTCACTGCTAAAACAGATATCTATTTTGAGGTTATACCTACCCTAACCTATAAGAACTGCATTCCCAATTAAATTATTTTGGGCCATCGTTATTGCCTTTAAATATGTAACTACATTGCAAACATGCAAAATGTGGTTTTAAGCGTTATGACTCAAATAATTGACATCATAAAATAATTTTTATACCTAAGTTAACCTAGGAGAACTACGCTTTATGTCTCGGGTCCACCGTTATTGCTGTTAAAGAAAGTTTTTACCAACACTAAATTACTTTGGTTAGAAAATTTTAACTGAATTAAAATAAATAAAAAATCATCGGTGTTATTGCATACGGAGTTCTACATCGGATTACAATAAAATCACATCCTACTAATATTTATTTTGTATTCTTTTCATTAAAAATAAAATAAATTTCATTTTAAATAATTAATATGAATTTAATTTAATTAACATTAGAATTTAATTTAATTAATATTAAATTAAATTGACATTAATTTATCAGTTATTGAATGCAAAGTAATTACTAATATTTTTGTTTTTTGATACATAAATTATTTCATTTAATTATAAATAATTAAATAAATTCGACTTTAACGAGTGTTAAGAAATTAGTATATTTTGCAACCAAAATTCCAATGACTTTCAAACTAATATATTGCTTTATCGTATTATACGATCTTTGTGGCCTAGTATTGAAGATCGTATAATTACAAAACTAAAACACCGTAAGAATCAAAAATCGTAAAGTTAAAAAGGCGGTTGTTTAAATAAAATGAGGAAGTGCAAAATATTACATTAGAATTTTATACAACGCATCTACATCTACATCTTTTAATATTTATTTTTTTTAAGATTTAATTAAAAATGAACAATATCATTCATTTTAATCATGGATAATATAAAACTCTAATATAAAACAATACAAAAACTAGAGAAAACTGAATAATTTTGACGTTCAAAGTAGCCATACAATTATTACAGTATAAGGTCTTTGCAGACCTATTATAATTTGAAATAAACAGTTGAATATATATAAATAATTTTAATTTGGGACACATGAACACATATGAATATTTTTCTTAAATATAATTTGTAATTTAACGTAATTTTTAAGACGGATGTGACTATTATATTTAATAGAAATCAAAGATTTTATTATAGACAGTTTAAATTGTAAAAATTGTTAACGAACTTTGATGAAATAATGCTATTATTTTCACAATGCGCTCTATAGTCATCATGGGAGCATATTATAAATTATATTCTACAATATTTATGTTGACACTAAAATTGAGGAAGCGTGTGTGTTTCAACAGATTTATATGCCAGTTAATTCCAAACCCTATGGAAATAACTCGCAAACGCTACATGGTAATCTGTCTAATAATATTATATGTGCTTTTAATATGAAACGCCATACATTTTTTATCACCTACTTAGTTATAGAATCGCTTCCACATCCTCAGAACCGCTTAAACTTAAAAATAAACACTTTTATTCTACTCCGTTGAGAGCTAGTACCCCGCTCATTTCTATTCTAACTTCATTCGATTCCACATATTGAAATTTCACCTGACATCTTCATCCACAAACTGACAACTGTAATATTCCTGCTATATTTAACAAATAAGGAATAAGTTACGAATTATAATTATATTATTAAAATTTAATTTTTATTTTTCTTTCAAAAGATTGAGCAAGGGCTAAGCTGTTGTTAGTCATTATAATATGAGTATATTTTATCTTTTATAAATAAAAGTAAAATAAAATATTAAGTAATGAATAAAATACAAAATTATGGAATTTGGCAACAATTCTCTTTATAAATTCTTGAATAATAATATCGCTTTTTCTGTGAAAGTTTCCAAAATTATATTAACATAACAAATTCATAAAATGCTGAGACTTAAAATTAGTTTAATTATAAATACTATACATTAAATATCCTTGTAAGTGTAACGACTTAATTCATAAAAATAACTTATGTTGAATAATTTATTTGAATGACAATACTTAGTATTGTGTTAAAGAGCTTCTGGTACATTTTTTTTTCAAACAGAAAAAACTTTTTAAATATATCACAATTATTGGTAATTTGCCATTACTTCTCGAATTCTAATACCACACAGATCTTGTGTTCCATAACTCAATTCACCCACAGCGTAACTTAAATTCTTTAACACCAAAGCAGGTTTACAGTTTTCCATATTAATATCAACGATAAAACGTTCTGGAAAGTTTATATCCTCCTCGTTAGCCCGATCATCAACGGATTTATTCAGTTCCATTGGTGTACGTATTTTCAGTTTAAGCTGTGAATTTACGCTACGATAGATTTCATCGAAATGTTTAAAATATTTTTGAGTTAAACGACAACGCATGTTTGGATCTGCTGTGGCATAAATGCGATAACTTCTGATGGTATCATCTAGTTTTTGTAGGCAGTTTATAACTATTAATTAAACAAAAAAAAATTAATTAATTAAATGTACATATAATAACCAGCAGAAAAACTAACCACTTGTATTCATTTCTTTGGCAACGCTTTTCCAAGCATTATATTTTTCCTGCATGTCGCAAGTTTGGTAAGTTTTCGGATTTCGCCGCAATGACAAAATAAATGAATAAGTACTAATTGAACCACGCATGTACAGCGAGGCGAATTCAGAAATAGGATTTTTAGCAGTAAGCGAACTCATATTGCTATAATCTAGAGTAGAGATAATTATTAGTAAAATAAAATAAATTCCAAACCCATCGTATGAAGCACTTACCCTTTGCTAATACTGAAGCAGATAAGCGAGAGTCTCGTTGTACATTTATTGGCGATGGCGCCGATTCGGTCATTTCCATTAATAAAGGTGATTGAGGAGATCCTATTGGTGATTCTATGTTTATAGTAACATTTGTTTTTGTAACGTTTTGCAGAAACTTATTTGAGTCGACTTTCACATCATTCAATTTACGACGTTCAAGTGTTGATTCTAACAAATTGCAACGTTCAATTTCTTGAATTATCTTATTACGTGTTATATAGTAGAATGGTTCCAAGTTATTATAGCGCGTTTCCATTAAAAATTTTAACTTGGCCAAAGTTCGCCACCAAAATAATGGCCACTTGTTGTCATTGCCAAATTCCAAATCGCACATATATTTGCAAAAGGCCATCTTTAATTCAAGCCAAAAGTCACTGATGTCAGCTGTAAAGATTTGAAGAAAAAATGAGAAAAAAATGTTATTAATAATTGTTTTAATTTTCATATTAAACAATTTTATTCAGAGTTGGGTTACAAAAACTGTCAAGCCCAACCGTATTTTATAAAAAAGATAAGATTAGGAACAAAACTCAAAAATGGATTTATTTAACAATATTAAAAGTTACTTACGAAAAGTTGGAAATTGTTGAGAGAGGTAAGAGTATACTTTTTTCACGCCTTTTTCAAATGGAGCCATCGGCGAGTGAATTTTTGGCACCTTTGCGCAATCCAAATATAATATACAGTTCTTACCAATGGTTTCCACAAGCTTAGGAGTAATATTTACATGACGTTCCCAATTTTTAAGTTCTGTAAAAAAAAGGGTTTTCGTTTAAATTAATTATCTTTAGGTTTATAGGCGATTCAAATATTAGTCGGGCTATTGAAAGTGTAGGTTATACTAACATTCGAATATGTTACACCCGTTCAAGAATTTTCGAACATCACTTTGTGTTCGAGCATTTTGAATACTCGAATTGCTTAATTAGCTTAATGTGTACATACTTTCAACCACTATAACATATATATGCATTATAAAACTTACTTGCTGTTTCCAAAAACGCTTCAAATGCTTTCTGTGATTCACTCCACACCGGTATGTCAGCTTTGTGTGGTCTCATCAATTCTTCGATGGGTGCAATTTGAGGAAAATGATTAATATTCTCAGATAGAAAATTCCAAGTGGCTTTACAAATATGTACTAAGAATAAAAATTGAAGAGGTTATAGATCTTGATTTAGTCACATATACAATCGTATACGTTTAGCTTACCAGGCATTACAAATTTTTTTGAAATATACATCCAAAACGATTGAATTTGTGAAGTATTTAGTTGTTTGTTATGTAGCTGGGGTATAGCCATTACTTCTCTTATGAAATTAGATGTTGCAGTCATTGATATAGAGAACTTCTCCGCCAACGGTGGGCCATGTATAATCAATTGATTGCCAGATGACGATGCGATTAATTCTATCATAATTTCGTTGGAGTTCAGTAATGAAGCAGCGCCTGATATCTTAGGCAATGGTCCTGATTTATTATCCTTTGCAGCGGTTTTTACGACTGCTGTCGATGTGGGCAATTGTGGTTGTTGAGGCGAATGTGGCAGTGGTTCTTGCTGCAGACCGTGTTGTACTTTTTGAAGTTGTTGTATCGACTGGAAGTTTTTTTGTTGCAATTGTTGTTGATTTAGAACTGGCGGTGGTTGTAGAACCAATGGTTTTTGTAGAACTGGTGCTGGTTGCAGAGCTGGTGGTGTTTGCAGCATTGGTTGTTGTGTCAGAAGAATTTGTTGCGGTTGCACAACTGGTTGTACTTGCAGTTGCTGTTGTGGTGGAGTAGATATGTCTTGTGATACACAGACTACGTTCTGGTTTACAAAAGTTGGAAGGGTTTCCGGACGAGCTGGCAGCTGTATTGGCCTAAACTGTTGATTTTGAGTTGTTAATACTGGCAGTTGTGCAGGTAAATGAGTTTGAGTTTGTAAATGCGGAACTATATGATTTTGCGTTTGTGTCGGATGCTGATATTGAAACTGTGTTACCACGGAGTTCACTAACGTTGGCGTTTGTTGTTTTGATTGTGTTTGTGTGATCGTTGGAAGTAGTTTTGGTCGAATAAATCTTGAATTACCATGTCTATACGTAAATGGTGGTTTAGGTGATAAGGGTTGCGTTGGTAAAACAGTATTAGCAGTATTAGTAGTAGTAGTAGTAGTAGTAGTAGTAGTAGTATTGGTATTAGAAATAGGCATTTCTTTACGAGTAATTTGTATTCCAACCTTATTATTTAAACTTATAGAAACCGGTGTGGCAAGACTTTTTGCTGATGCAATTTTGGGAACTACAATTTTTGGTTCCTTATTATTTACTGTTTGATTTTTTTCTATTCTTGCGGAAGATATACTATTCTCATCAATATTCAATGTAATTGGCATTACTGGGTAGGTAATAGCATTTGCCACTTTTGGTAGAAGTGGTCGTAATTCTGGTGCTGATGGTAATACTGAAGGATAGTTTGTTGGCCTTGGAGGAGCAACTGAATTCATAGTGGTGTTTGTGGACATAGGAATTATTGGTGGCGTGCCAACACGCAGTGTTGATACACGTTGTAAAGCTTCAACTGTTACTGGTAGCGGACTCTGCATGTAAGCTTGTTTTTCATTCACAGATTTCGCGGTTTTAGGCCTTTTACTTGGTGGTTCATTTTCATGTGGTCTTGAATTTGAATTTAACGTTTTTGTCACCTTTGGTTGCGTTTGTGATACAGTTGTTGTTATGGCATTTGCTGGTTCCGGTGCAGTATTAGAACCCTTTTTAGGTTTTTTAATTGCAGATGCGGTATATAACTCAGTCATGGTATTTTCGAAATACCACTTATCTTGCAATTGGTATTTATGTTTACGCAAATTCATTAATTCCCAGTAAAATAGGCGTAACAATAACCAGGTAACTTCATATTGTGCAGGAGTTCCTTCTATGCCTGAAAAATAAAAAATTAATTATATTATTTAGTACATATATTGAAAGCTCTCTTTTAAAGATAATAAAAAATCATTCGCAATCGAGTTGCGAAGGATCAAAGTTCTCAACAGGTTCTAGCTTAAACATATATTAATGAAGTATGGTTTCCTTGTGTAGCCAGAACTTCCTTGTATCTTATTAAGATCAGGATGGAGACAGTAGTCACTTATATACATGCCTAAACATAGCCTAAGTGAAGCTCTATCTCTTATAAAATCACTCAACTGTCTTGAAGTCCTAACTAATACAAAATAAATATACATTTAATTAGTTTTTTACCTTTATTTACTAAACTGTTTTCCCACATAACACGATAGTCTGCATTTTTCTCTAGTCCATTTGAGATAACGTTCTCTGTGTACTTAATTAGATGGGGTAATTTTTTCAAACATGTCAACAAGTTGAAGATACTTTTAAAATGCTCAATAGGTTCTACCCATTTTTGTTTCATAAAATACGATTGCTTGCAGACAGTATTCCGACTGAAAATTTTAAAACATTTTTATTTCATCACAATATTAATATAAAATTTTTAAATATTACATACTTTTTTAATATATAAGGTTTAAGGAACTCCAACAAATTTTCTAAATCTGTTTTATTATCCTCTTTTTGCTGTTGTGTAGTTAATATCCATTCATAACGAGTTTGCAAATAAATCCAGGATTTCATCAATTTAGTAGCTAAAAATTCAACAACAAATGATTATATATTTATTATGCACATAACAGTTATTATAGACAGAAGACAATCATAAGTATCTTAATTGGACACAGTTTATTAGCAGAACATTCATATAAAATAAAAATCACCAAGAGTACCGAATGTAGAGAATTTATTTATTTCGTAATTAAAAATTAAATTATATTAATTATCGCTAGGGCTATGTGTGGGGCTCATGCCTGGCCATTTTGAAGTAATCTATTATATAGACCTCTACTTATATAGTATAATAGACAACACAATTCATCTGCACTAATGACATCACTATCCTTATCTCCAACTCCAATTTATTATCACGACATATGTATATACATAAGAATACTATTTCGAACTTTTATTTGTTAGGCTATAAGTACAAAACTCAACAACTTTAATCAATCGAATTGCAGTGAATCTCAAAATCTTAAAGTAAATTCCCTCCCTCAAAGTCATCCAGGGAAATGACCCATTTGCTCATGTAACGAACCGCGAACTTAAAATTAGAATTGGGGTTTTAATCGTGGTTTCTCTCTATCGAAATTATCTCTTTACCATTTTAACAGCAGTCAACACCAAATACTGTGTTATAGATCGACATGCTGAATTTACAGTCGAGCATTACTAAGGCCACGGTCTGAAGATGAGGATACCTTCAATCATTTTATCTGTATCCATCGAGGGAAATACAATAAAAGAATAATGACATTAGTTTATTGTGAACTGGAAAATAGGTCATGTGTCACAAAAGTTACCACAATTTGTAAATTCGTTAAAATGATACAATAAAAAATTATTTTTATTAGAAACCCTATGGGTTTCATGTGGTTTCATATAGAACCAAATCGGTCTATCTCGGTTTCTGTTTAACGGAAATTTTAGCAGAAATCATTTCTAATAGTTTTAGGTTTTGAAACATAACAATCTATATACATATGTTATTTGCATGAAAGTCAACATAATGGTGGAGTTGAAAAAATATGTTACACTTTTCCACCACATTTTAGATTAGGAAAGAAAAACAATAAATTGTTATTTGAAATAATGCTTACAAATACTCAAATATATATAATCAAAATCTATATAAAATTTATTTCATAAGACATATATTATAAAATTTACCTTTATCGCCAACTTCATTTGCAATTGCGGTCCAAATGAAACCTTTACGTCGAAATTCATTAAAATATCGATGTTCTGTATCATACAATTCTGGGTATTCTTTTATAATTTCAATTAATTTTTTAATGTCATGATTTATTGGAAATGCTTTACGCAATACTTTAGCATTACTATCATCGTCATCATCATCATCAAGATTAATAATGACTGGTTCATCACATAACATAATTAAGTCATCATCTTCATTATCAATTTTTTCATTCGTTGTATTCTCATTTTCTTCATTTTTCTCATCCGGCACATTTTGCAATGGAAAGAAACTCCTAATAATTTTTTTAAAATAAGTTTTAATTTTTTATAATTTAATATACCATATATAACTTACTTATCAGGTATATATTTCCACAAGAATAACATTTCAGATTCAAGTAGCATTATTGGACGACGTTTATTATTTTTATTGCCGGAATGAAAAAATTTACGTAAACGACGTACATAAGTCTGGTAGGACTCCCTTATATTCATCCAAGTATTTTCACAGACATCCACTATAAAATAAATTTAAAGATTATATTATTTAATTCTAAATTATTAAATATATAGTATATATATAAAATTAATTTTATTAACCTGTAGTATTCATTATTTGCGCTATTTGGGTCCATGCATATCTCTTCTCTTCGATCTTTGAAAAGTTTGGATGCCGTGGATTAAATAAAACTGGATATTTCTGCACTTGTCTTATAAGTTTCTTTTTTAACTTAACATCATCAAGATGCGAAATTGGATCTGCTACTTTTATTGGATCTGAAGATGCACCTTCATCCATTGGTATATATATCTGAAAACCAAACGTTATGTATTTGTGAAGTAAATATTTTTGAATACAAAAATAATAAAATATTTTCTCATAAAAATTCATACATTAGGAATGTGCAGAATATCAATATCGGTAAGGAAAGAAATTTGTACAATTAATTTAAGTCCATAAAGTCATATATATAAAAAAACAAAAGTAAAGCCCATAGCCCATAGCCCATAACTGACATGTGTTGGGGATCCAGGTTTTTCCATTATTGGATACCAACCACAATGTTCGCTTCATTTAGCTTAAATAGCTCTAAACAATCCTCAGAATCGTCCGCACATTCACTTCACGATCACTCAAAATAGTTTTTAGTTTCCGACTCCCTTTTAGTTTGCTAAATAACAAAAATTTCAGATATCCAGACTATTTAGCTTAGTCGACTAATTATTCGGCTAAGCCTTTGTTCAAATCATAATTAATAACATTCATAAATATATTAAGTTTTCGAAGATATGATCGTTTACTAAGATATGATCGTTTACTCCTACATTTACTATTATAATCAAATTGAGAATTTTATAATTATCATACATTATCTTTCTACGAAAAACTTTCAAAGTGAGATAGTTACTCTCCACTACAGATCGTATATTTATTTTTAAAATTAATTAGATTGCCCTATGTCTACCCAAAAAGTAGACTAAACGAATTATACTTACTATATTGTTGGTATTTAAGTGATGCTCAAAGTATTATTATATTATTTATTATATTTCACTGGTGTTTTATTTTCAAAGCGTCTTGCAGTTTATAGATCTTTTTCAATTTTGTCTCATTTTTTTCAATGTTTTGACATTTCTTCATTTCAATTTTTACTATGTTTACTAAGTTGTTAATTTTTTTTTCTTTAATTTTTTGCCATTTTACTTTTTCTAATATATATATATATTATTGAATCCTTTAACTCCTAGGTGGAGCATAGGGCCGCTTACGGTTTAGTTAATCAATGGGTTTAAGATTGGCAGGTGACTGGACTACCGCATCCGATTCTGGTGTTGGGGCTGCCAACTGTTACCTACAAACCGATAGAAAAATATTGTGACAGTACTCCTTTTAAAGGTATACGAGCGCCGCCTTCGACGAGATACAGTTCCTCCACCACCATCTCTTTTGCAGACTCCTGTCTAAACATGCAAGTCTATCCGCAACCTACGACCTCAAAATATCCAGTCGGTAGCTTAGGGTAGGGGTTTTTAAGGAAGTGAGCTTCTATCGAGTATTTGGTCCACGGGAGGTATTTTATTTCTCTCCTGCCACCCGATAACAAGAAATTCATCCGCCACCCTCGACACGTCCCCTAGGGATTACAGCCTCCCCTTCTAATATGACTTCCAATTAATAAATTTTTCGTTGCCATTTTTAATTTTGCTCACACAAATGCTTCAGCAATAGAAGTTAATTTTTTTTTTTTAATTAATTCAATTATTGATGTTTCTTATGTTCTCATTAAGACAAAATTTTTGAAAAAAGAAACCATTTCTTATAATATCCTACAAGCGCCACCTATCGGATTCAAACATAACCTATGACCATTTTCTCTTAGGGCAGTATTATGTAGAGTGTCACGGGCACGTCATGAGCAAAATTGTTGTTGTTTTCAATGCAAATTATAAATTTTAGATTGGAAGAAAAAATATGTCTGAGAGCCGAGGCTATCTATGACTCGTTACTTAGACAAAGCAATATTGTCCACTAATAAATGTCAGACTTTGCGACTTTTAGGAGCAAATTACTACAATTTCAATACGTTTTAAAGAAAAAATGCCAGGAAGCAACACAGTAATTATTATAAGATAAATTAATATTTTTACAACCTCTGTTTTTTTTTTTTTTTTTTTTTTTTTTTTTTTCAAATTAGCATATCTACATTTTTTTAAATAGTAGTCACAACTAAAAAGTGCGATAGTAGTAGTAAAAATACGAAATTGGCAACACTGACAAAACATGGTATTTATTAAATTCGATAAAACATTATGAAATATTTAATATTTATATAATATTTATAAGTTCAACTATTTAAATAACTTTAAATAACTTACTTTTGAGGTCTTTAAGGTATTCTGAATCGGGATTTTTTCCAGACAGTTTTATAGGGTGTCGTTTAATCGCCTAAGTTAAATTAATTTGCGATGTTAACAGCAACGATGTTAACAGAAGAACCCACCACCAAAAATACTTTCCGATTATTGCTCTCTCGTTTGATTTTTCTTACTCCGCGTACAATGACTAATAAAACAACACCAAAAACGACACAAATGCATGTGCACAGCTCTTACATGTTCACGCACATCTACAAAACTTGTAGTTCATAGCAGAAATCGGTCATTAAGCAGTTGTGTTCACAAACACAAAATTTGTGACAAAAACATGGTTGCCAATAGCATTGAATTTATTAACAAATTGTTTCAATTTTTAAAAAAACAAATTATTTGTAATTAATGATAAAAAAAAAAATAATTAGTATGCTTAACTAACACTAGAAAGCAAACCAAAAAAACAACTAATTAATATACATAATATATATATATCAGTTATATATCGGATGTATTGTATATCCTCTTCAAAAGAGGTACAACCAGAAATTCGTCAATTTTGTATTAATATATGGAACTTGCTTATAGTTTACCTGTCTACTAACACGCAAAATTTCAATTTGTTTTTATAATTGCAAATTGTCGAAAAAAACAGTTAGATCTTCTTTTTTGTTAGCAATGACACTATGCTGTAAAATAGTTTTGAACGTTTTCTGAAAATTGACAAATTTTCAGTTGTGCTTGTTTTGAAGAGGGTGTGCGTTATATAGATATCTATATAAATATTCTATAAAGATCGATATCAATACATAGATATCGGCAATATAAATACATAGATATCAATATCAACATATATCGGTATAGGTATATGATATCGATAGAAATATCGATATAGATATAAATATCGATAGATATAAATATCGATATAGATATAAATATGGATATAGATAAAAAGATTTCGATATCGATATAAATATATAGATATCGATATAGATATATCGATATAGATATATAGATATCGATATAAATATAGATATCGATATAAATGTAGATATAAATATAAATATCGATAGATATAAATATCGATATAGATATAAATATGGATATAGATAAAAAGATTTCGATATCGATATAAATATATAGATATCGATACATCGATATGGATACAGATATATAGGTATCGACATAAATATATATACGTAAATATCGATGTACATATATACATATCGATGTAAGTATATATAATAGATTCATATATTATATAAAATAGATTTAAATATGTATGCATCCGTATTTTCCTTTACAAACACATTTTCATGTATTTCTACATCTACATTATCTAGATGATCTTCATTTACATGATCTTTATCCACATTATTTTTATCTATGTAATCTGTATGTACATGATGCTGATCTATGTGACCTTTATCAACATGATTCTAATCTCTATGATCTTCATTCACATAATATTTATCTACATGATCTTTATCTACATTTTTTGAAATGTAATGAAATTAGGAGTAAAAAGTCCACAATAAAATTAAATTAGTTAATTCTTAAATGCAATTAAAACTTCCCACAGAAGTAAATTATACTATGTTTCCACTGCAGCTAAATCAATTTATGTTAATTAAATTAAGTTTTGTTCATTTCCATTGACATAAGTTGATTTATGCATGTGAAAAAATTTTTATGTTTTAGAAAAGTTTTAAGAGAGCTTCTGTTTGCTTACATTTCAATTACTTACAGTTAATATTTAGTTTTATATTAGGTCTTGCCTTTGGTAAGCATGTCGCAAAAGAACAAATAAAATAAACACTACTTTCGATGGCAACTCTGGACAAAATGGAAATTTTGTTAGGCTTATATATGCAAAACACGTAATAAAGTTTAAAGTTAAAATTTCGAAAATGAACAATAATTCTTTGCGAATATTAGTGAGAATATTTTTTTTACTTGCTTGTGAATAATCTATAATTTTTCATGCCTTTTAACAGTAAAATAATAAATCGAAAATATAACGTATGTTACGAATAATGACGACATGATGAAAGACGAATAATTAACAAAATCATTCGTTGACAGTTAACTGTAAATTTCGTAGGTACTTCCAAAAATCATTCACAATAGACGAATTTTTAGTGTTGGCAACCATGTGATTTGAGCTGCTTATTAGTTAAGCGATTTTAAAAAGGTTGGACTAAATAAGCAAGCAGTGTTGTTGTTTCTTATGTTATTTTTAAAAGAAGCAGAAGCAGTTGTTCTTTTGTAATATGTTTAGAAAAGAAAAGGCCTATTGTTAGCAGAAGTTAATTAATTGATCATAGAAAACACAGAAAATGTAAAAAATTTTGTATATAATATTCATTTATAAAAAAACCAACATTTATAAAAATTTCCCTTTTAGGAAATATAATTTGCAATGTTGCATTCAACATGTGTTTGGTTTAATTTCCCTTGACTTATGTTTAAGTAAGTTAAAAAAGCTCGAAAGCTCTTTATATAGTTAATGAAATTGTATTTGTATTTCATTTTAATTGTTTTTAAGAGATAATTTCAACTAAATAATGTAATCTAATGTAATTTTACATAACAATTCACAATAACAATTACAATGACATATTATAGTGAAGAACACCCAACTTATTTCGGCTAAAAATTTAGTTTAAATTTAACCCAAAGACAATTTTTGCTCTTATCGATTCTTTCCCCGTTCTCAATTACCGTCTCTTTCACAAACGAACTATTTCTCATTTACAATTACGTTCAAAAGAAAATAAAAAATCATTGCTTAACATTTTTACATTGCTCTTTACTAGTTCATTCGCAAGTAATTTTTTCTGAGTACATCATTCCGCAATATAAAATATACGAAGAATACAAGTCACACAGCCGCACAAAAGTATAAGCAGTGGAAATACCACACACACACTTAT